GAGATGAATAGAATGTTACTGAATAGTATTCATTTGCCATATAATGTTTACTCCTAGATTTCCCACCATTGCATCACTTCGATGCTGACCAAACAAAATGAATAGAATGTTGATGGATAGTATTCATTTGTCATATAATGTTTACTCCTAGATTTCCCATCATTGCATCACTTCGATGCGGACCAAAGAAATGAATAGAATGTTTATGAATAGTATTCATTTGTGATATGATGTTTATTCATAGATTCAACAGCATTCAATCACTTCGATGTCCACAAAAGTGATGAACAGAATGTTCCTGAATACTATTCATGTGCCATATGATGTTTAGCCGTAGAGTGAACATCACTCTATCACTTTGATGCGAACCAAACCGATGAATAGTATGTTCCTGAAAACTATTCATGTGTCATATGATAATTCCTCATAGATTCAACATCATTCTATCATTTCGATGTGCACAAAACAGATGAATAGAATATTGCTGAATACTATTCATGTGTCATATGATCTTTACTTATAGATTCAACATCATTCTATGACTCCGGTCCGAACAAAACAGATGAATTGAAACCTGGTGAATAGAATTCAATTGTCATCGGATGTTTACTTATATATTCAACATCACTCTATCATTTCAAAGCGAATCACAGAAACGAATAGAATGTTACTGAATAGGATTCATTTGTCATATGATGTTTACTCATAGATTTAACATCATTCTATCGCTTCGCTGCGAATCAATCAGATGAATAGAACGTTTATCCATATTATTCATTTGTCATCTGATGTTCAATCAAAGATTCAACATCATTGTCTCACTTTCACGCGAACCAAAGATATCAATGAAGTTCTTGTAACTAATATGCATTCCCATACAATCCTTTCATAAACTCAACATCACTGTACCGCTCCGAAGCGAATGAAGGACGAGAAAGGAATCCAACTGAGTAGTATTCATTTTACATATGATACTTACTTATAGTTTCAAAACTACCACAACACAGTGAGGCAAATCAAATAGATAAATACAATGTTGGTCAATAATATTCATTTCTCATATGATCTTTCCTAATAGATTTAACATCATTTTATCACTTCGATGCGAACCAAAGGCATGCATAGAATGTTCCTGAAAACTATTCATGAGTCATATAATGTTTTCTCATATATTGAACACCATTCTATCACTTCGATGTGCGCAAAAGAGATGAATACAATGTTTATGAATACTATTCATGTGCCATATAATGTTTAGTCGTCAAGTGAACATCATTCTATCGCTTTGATGCGAAACGAACCGATGAAAAGTATCTTCCTGAAGACTATTCATTTCTCGTACGATGTTTCCTCATAGATTCAACATCATTCTACCAGTTCGATGCGAATTAAAGAGAAGAATAGAATGTTACTGAATAGTATCCATGTGTCATATGATGTTTAGTCGTAGCGAAAGCATCATTCTATCACATTGATGCGATCCAAAGCCATGAATAGAATGCTCCTGAAATCTATTCGTTTGTCGTTTGATGTTTCCTCATACCTTCAACATCATTCTATCACTTCGATGTGCACAAAAGATATGAATAGAATATTCCTGAATACTGTTCATGTGCCATATAATCTTTACCTGTAGATTCCATATCATCCTATCACTTCGATCCGAACAAAAGAGATAAATTGAAACTTGGTGAACAGAATTCATTTGTCATATGTTGTTTACCTATAGATTCAACATCATTTTATCACTTCAAAGCGAATCAGAGAGACGAATAGAATGTTGCTGGGTGGTATTCATTCGTCATATGATGCTTGCTCATAGATTCAACAGCATTCTATAACTTCGATGTGCACAAAAGGGTTGAATAGAATGTTACTGAATGCTATTCATTTGTCATATGATCTATACTTATAGATTTCCCATCATCCTATCACTTCAAAGCGAGTCACATAGACGAATAGAACGTTACTGAATAGTATTCATTTGTCAGATGATGTTGACTTATAGATTCACCACCATCCTATCGCATCAATGCGAATCAAAGAGATGAATGCAATTTTTATACATATTATTCATTTGTCATATAATGTTCACTCATAGATGCAACAACATTGTATCACTTTTACGCGAACCAAAGAGATCAATGAAGTTATTGTACCTAATCTTCATTCCCATACTATCCTTTCATGAACTCAACATCACTGTACCACTCCGAAGCGAATGAAGGAGGAGAAAGGAATCCAACTCAGTAGTATTCATTTTACATATGATAATTACTTATAGTCTCGAAACCATCACAACACATCGAGACAAATCAAATAGATAAATACAATGTTGGTCAATAGTATTCATTTGTCATATGATCTTTACTAATAGATTTAACATTATTCTATCAGTTCGATGCAAGTCAAAGAGATGAATAGAATCTTGCTGAATAGTATTCATTTGTGATATCATGTTTAGTCGTAGAGTAAACATCATTCTATCACTTCGATGTGCACAAAAGAGATGAATAGAATGTTAGTGAATAGTATTCATTTCACATATGATACTTACTCATAGTTTCAAAACCACTACAACAGATCGAGGGGACTCAAATAGATGAACACAATGTTGGTCAACAGTATTCATTTGTCGTATGATCTTCACTCATAGATTTAACATCATTCTATCAGTTCGATGCAAATCAAAGAGAAGAATAGAATGTTCGTGAATAGTACTCATTTGTCATATGATGTTTACGCATAGGTTCAGCATCATTCTATCGCCTCGATGCGAATCACAGAGATGAATAGAATGTTATTGAATAGTATTCTTTTGTCATATGATGTTTACTCCTGGATTCAACATCATTCTATCACGTTGATGCGAACTGAAGAGAGGAATAGGATGTTGGTGAATAGTATTCATTTGTCATATGGTGCTTACTCAATGGTTCAACATCATCCTATGACATTGATGTGAACCAAAGAGATGAATAGAATGTTACTGAATAGGATTCATATGTCCTATGATGTTTACTCATAGATTCAACATGATTCTATCACTCCCATGCGAGCGAAAGGGATGAACGGAACTTTTGTGTAAAGTAATCGTTCCTCACATTCTCTTTAGTCATAGATTGAACATCATTCTGTCATTTCTATGTGAACCAAAGAGATGAATAGAGTGTTCGTGAGTAGTATTCATTTTATCATACGATGTTTACTCATCGATTCAACATCATTGTATCACTTTGATGCGAGCCAAAGCGATGAACAGAATGTTACTGAATATTGTTCATTTGCAATACAATGTTTACTCATTGATTGGGTAGCATTCAATCACTTCGATGCGGACGAAAGAGATGAATAGAATGTTCTTGAATAGTATTCAACAACATATGATGTTTACTCCTAGATTTAACATCATTGTGTCACTTCGATGGGGACCGAACATATGAACAGAATGTTGCTGAATAGTATTTATTTGTTATATGATGTTTACTCCTAGATTAAGCATCATTGTATCACGTCGATGCGAACCAAAGAGATGAATACAATGTTGCTGAATAGCATTCATTTGTCATAGGATGTTTAGTCGTAGAATGAGCATCATTCTATCACTTTAATGGGAACCAAAGCGATGAATAGAATGTTAATGAATAGTATTCAACAACATATGATGTTTACTCTTAGATTTAACATCATTGTATCACTTCGACGGTGACCAAACAGATGAACAGAATGTTTTTGAATAGTATTCATGTGGCATAGGATGTTTACTCTTAGATTAAACATCATTCTATCAGTTGGATGCGAGCCAAACAGATGAATGGAATGTTGTTGAATATTATTCAGTTGTCATATGATGTTTACTGCTAGATTTAACATCATTCTATCACTTCGATGCGAACTAAAGAGATGAATAGAATGTTAGTGAATAGTATTCATTTCACATATGATGTTTAGTCGTAGAGGGAGCATCATTCTCTCACTTTAATGCGAACGAAAGAGATGAGTAGAATGTTATTGAGTAGTATTCATTTGTCCTATGATGTTTACTCATAGATGCAATATGATTCTATCACTGTGATGCGAACCAAAGAGATGAATGGAACTTTTGTGCAAAGTAATCATTTCTCACATGATCTTCACTCATAGATTGACATCATTATATCACTTCGATGTGAACCAAAGAGATGAATAGAAAGTTGGTGAATAGTAATCAGTTGTCAGATGATGTTTACTCGTAGATTCAACATCATGCTATCACTTCGATGGAGACCACAGAGATGAATAGTATGTTATTGAATAGTGTCGATTTGTGATATGGTGTTCACGCATAGATTCGACATGATTCTATCACTTTGATGCGAAGCAAAGAGACGAATAGAATGTTACTGAATAGTATCGATTTGTGATATGGTGTTCACGCATAGATTTGAGGTTATGCTATCACTTTGATGCGAAGCAAAGAGACGAATAGAATGTTGGTGAATAGTATTCATTTGTCATATGATGGTTACTTCTAGGTTTAAGATCATTCTAGCACTTCGATGCGAACTAGAGATATGCATAGAATGTTCTTGAATAGTATTCATTTGGCATATGATGGTTACTCCTAGGTTTAAGATCATTCTAGCAGTTCGATGCGAACTATAGATATGCATAGAATTTTGGTGAATAGTATTCATTTGTCATATCATTTTTAATTATTGATTCAATATCATCCTATCACTCCGATGCGAAGCACAGAGATGAACAGAATGTTGCTGAATAGTATTCATTTGTCATATGATGTTTACTCCTAGANAATGTTTTTTTGACCCCAAAAAAATTTTTCAAAAAAATTTCAGGTGTTTTCGAAAAAATTTATTTTTTCTCAACAAGTCTGTTTCTTCATTAAAAAAAAATTTTCGAAAAAAAAAATGTTTTTTTGACCTGCCACAAACAGACAGACAAACGCATTTTAGTTTTTAGTTTTTTTCATATCACCCTCCCTACAGTCGAGGGAAAAACTAATCATCTCCCCCAGGTTCATAGTCAGCAATTGTATCATCATCTGACAGGTCCAGGTCTATTAAATCTTGAGTAATATCAACAGAATCTTTATCATTAGGAGTGAGTAGCATTTCATCATAGCTTTCACTGGAATAATCATTGGTAGCAGCAGTTGTTGTTATTGCAGTTGCTGCTGCTGTTGTTCTTTTCCTACGTCTGTTTTTTAATATTGAATTAAAATTTTTTCTCATCGAACTAAGACGACTAAAACATTCAGCAGAATAATATCCTGTAGACGAGAAAATGCTTGTAAATAATCTGTCCAAAACATCATAACCATCGTTATAAATGATTGTGGATAAACCTAATGCAATACGAAGGATGATTGATGAACAGAAGCGGTGTTTAGGAACCATTGTCCACAGGAGTGAGTGAAAAGCCTCATTGGCATTTTGTGATCCACCACCCACTACACGTGCCAAACTAGTTCGAGAACATAACTCGTGAAATACGGGCTTGATCATATCCAAGCATGCTCTTGGAATGGTTGATTTTGAATTATGAGAAAATTGTTGACCATTTAACTTTGCCTGCAGGTACTTGCACCATTGAGGGTCGCACCAGTCATGCATTGGTTCCTTGTCCGTCGAATAATGATGTTTGAAAATAGCCCACGATTTTTGATAAAGCTTATCTAAATCAGTCTTAGATTCGCGTATAGCTTTAGCAAAATAAATCTTAAGTTTGATTGCATGAGCATCAGTCATTCGTCCTTTACCACTAAATCTTTTACCGTCAGACAAAATTTCATTTTTATTCTCTTGCTTGATCTTTTTGATACGACTCAACATTCGTTTAGCAAAGTGATTTGTATCTTCAAGCTTTTTTATTGTAACACCAGGATATGTAGGATTGCTCGTTAGAAAACTATGCACCTTAGCATCACCATCTCCAACATATGAAATATATCTAACGTTATATTTTGATACTGATCGACAAAACATTTCATAAATCATTTGTTTTTCCATCACACCTGACGATCCTGAATTAGAAAGACTTATGACAATGTAGTACATAATTGATAAGGGGTACCTGTGAAATTCAACTGACATTCATGATTCTCTTGAAATGCTCTAAATAAATCAGGATTAGCATGGCGTATGCTTTCGGCTCCTTGACATTTAATACACGTTTTAGAACACCAAGTAGCATCTATAACTTTTGGATTGGCAGTCGTTGAACATAAAGCGGCGATTCCGTGAAGACTAGAGTATCCGCGGGTAAGCCATGCTCCATCACCGCTTACTACTAAATCTCGTACACTACCAGCTTGAATGACAGCCTCTTCGGTAGCACACATCATTGATTGTTCTTGAGCTTTTTCAACATAATTTAAAATAAATTGTTGTGTCTCATGGTACTTGTGTTCCTGAATTGGTGATGGCAGATTTAAAGCACCCAGCAACTTCAACATTCCAGCACGGCCTAATCCACATAAGGTACCACCAATAGCTAACCGAATGTTAATCTCGTGACGTCTACTAGTTGGCATTTTCGGCGATGAATATAAACGAGCGAGAGATTCACAATTATAACACATGAATTCAAGCTGCATGTATAGTCCATTGCGTTCTTTGACAGTTACGGATCCATCCCAAAACTTCTTGCAACCTGGACATAAGAATTGTTTTAGTAATGAGGTCAAAGAATTCAGATGTATAATTAAATTGAAATTGAAATTATCTTCAACATTCTTTTTGTTTGATGTTGATTGACTTTGCATCGACATCATTGATTCTTCGTCGGTGCTTGATGATGATGAATGGTCTCTTTTCCTTTTTAGATTGTCTGGACGATTCCGTTTCATAATTAGTCTTCTACTTTTCGTTTTGTAGCAAATATTTCTTTTACCCATTGAAACCTATTTTTACGACTAACAATATATAACATATTATATTATGAAAAATAGCCATCACTTACTGCTGAAAATACACTTGACAACTGATTTCAATCAATAAATATACTGAAGTGTTATATTGTGAAGGTGTCTAACTCTAGATGGATGTAGTTGTATATCACTGTGTTTATTTGAACTGAAACCGGTCTATTTATAGGCCGGGGTGATGAACGAATACATGAATACAAAAGAGAGAGAGTGATTACAAAGACCTGGAGAAGATAGTACTAACACACAGAGAGAGTGATTACAAAGACCTGGAGAAGATTATAACACCACCTAACAATATCCGTATGAAATATATTTTATAATATGTGTAATAATGTAGTAAAACGACCTGCTATTTATACCCGATGAAATCAACAGTTGGATATTCCAACTATATCATAATACTATGGAAAACTACCTGAGATATCACATCAAAGAAAAAAGACTACAGAGGAAAAAACCAAGAGAACATATAAGGGAAAATATCGGACAGAACGAAAGAAAAGAATCATCTATATGATTATAACATATGTGAAGAAAGAGAACGAACGAACATATGGATAAAACCATTATCGTATATCTAGGTACATGCCATAACATGACGGCATCACAAATAAGATATTTTTTTTATTTACGATTTTTCTTGTCGTTAGAAATATATACATTTTAGATGTATCAAACTATAATACTTAGCGATACATGCTAACTATAGCCATCACTGTGAAAAAACAGCAGTTTTTGAAAAAATGTTATTTTCTAGGTTAGGGGGTCTCCAAAAAACCGATTTTTCGTCGTGAAAACTCATAATAAAACCAACTATAGTCATCACTGCGAAAAATCAGCAGTTTTTGAAAAAATGTTATTTTTTAGGTTAGGGGGTCTCAGAAAAACCGACTTTTCGTCGTGAAAACTCATCATAAAACCAACAAACTATAGTGCGTTCGATAGCAGACACTTTGCTCTATCTGATAAGCTATAAATCAAAAAATCGAAAAATTTGACGAAAATTGACATTTTAGGGTGGGGGTGGGGCCTTAAGTCATATAATTGGTTTGCACATTGTGTTATGACTTTGACACCTGATTTAATTAATTATCAAGAATTAACAGACACTATGACAATAACATCAACACCAACAACAAAGAAAATTCGTTATAATTTCGATGAACTCGTTCATCGTATTGCTAATATTAACATATAAACTTTCTCATTCGAAGTATTATTATAATTCAGAATAAGTTAATCTTTTCTTTTGTTTTTCAAAATAAACATGAGATGCGTTCATTTAAATTTGTTAAATAAATATTATTATCAATAACAATTATGCTTTTATCATATTTCTCACTAATAGAAAGAATGTAAATGTGAGGATGTAGATCTCAATAATCTCTTAAGCCACAATGGTTTCGTTAAGTCAGAGAGGATCTCATACGAATGCAGACATTGCGTGAATAAGGCAAATTGCACATGTTCATTTATCATACTCGTCATCAGGATGCTCAGCATACTTCTGATAAAGAATTCTTTTTTTCAAAATATTTTTGTCAGCTTTTAATAATACACTTTCATAGATGTTCGAATGTAAGATAAAACAAACTGAAATGTCATCAATAGAATCTTCGATTATCACTTTTTCTGTAATATTATATGTTTGATAAGACGTTTAGAACTTAGAAATCCTTTTAAATATTATATCTACCGTAATATATTGTGCCTCGTTTGGCTATACATTTCTGTAATTCGTCTGTTAATACGAGCTGTTTATTATTATCGTCAAGTTTTACTTGAATAAATTTTCGCAGTTCACTATGATATCTATCGAATAGAACTTTTTCTTAGCATTGCTTATAGGCTTATTCAATAATATCTACCTTGATATCGCGATTATTCCCTGAATCTGATGGTGTTGACATACTATGTGTTGAATATGACCCCCGTGTTAATACCAAATTTGTAATACCGAACAATGGCTTCGTATATCAAGACTTTTATTTTATTATCAATATTGTATCTCAATGTGAGCAATCAAATAATTTCTTCGGCAATGTTTTGTGTTACGGCTTGAACAGTTTGGAATAGATATCAACGTTTAAGGGATATAATAATGTGCCTTAATGGGAACAAAGTTGAAATAATTATGAAATCATCATGACAATATCTCAAAGAAGCTTCAATTAAAGATCAAAATAAAAACAATTAATGTAATAATAATAGCTACTAAATAAATTAATTATGTTCAAGTGACAGTCATTAAGATATTTGTAGAACTTTCTTGTGTGAAAATTTTTCCCATTGTAAGAGGTTTAAAAGCATTGTGAGCTTTCGTATATTGAAGTGTCCTTATTAAGACTGATTGTGAGCATTTTGAAAAAAAAAATATTTGCATCAGAACTTCATTTGTCTATCTTGCTATGTGTTCTATTGATAGTTGATATAATGCATACAAATGATTAAGATGACTTCATCAAATTGTGACACCAAACGAAAGTTGCATTACTGTTCGACTATAAGTAGACACCCAATTTTTCTCGATAATTTAATTTTCCTTAATAATGCGTATAGTTGTTCCAAAATTGTTTATATTCACTCGAATATACATTGGCATCTGACATCAAATCAGGAATCAAAATCATCTGGATTCTCAATGTTTCTCTGTATTCCTTATTCAGAGTTAGAGAATACTAGTGTATTTCCATTGGCTGAATATAATTCTTTCGATAAATTTAGACGTTCATTCACTTTGTATGTGTTTACAGAACTTCACTATTACTTTCCTATTGATTGATTTCCATATCTTTTATGAATAAAAAGCAAACAAAGGAAGAAAGAAAAAAAATTATCGGTCATTTTATACACTGAACAATAAGTTCATTTTACTTTTTTGACGAATTTTGTCTTTTAGAGATAGAGTAACGAGAGATAAAATGCTTTTCAATTTTCACAGCTTTTTGACATATTCAAGGCGGCATGATCCACCAACAGATCATGGCAAAAAAAATGAGTATCTCCACTCTATCTTAATTAAATGAACTAATTCTTTTTTCGATAATACACGAATGTTAAAAATTTTCATTCATAAGAGAAATGCCAATACAGGGTGTGGGTGGGTATGGGTTGTAGGTGGAGAACTGAACCTCTCAAAAATGCACATCCACAACCGTATCCACTCACACTCTGCACCCACACCCCCAAGAACCCCTAAATCAAGGAGATTTTTCAACTTGATATTAAAAATATTTCATCATTCAAAAATGAGATGAGAGAAAATGTTATCTCTGTACATGTTTTTATTTTGTTGATATCAGAATAAAAATATTGAAGTTATTCGTGGTTAAATTGAACAAAAATGTTGGAGTTAAGTTAAGAAGTTTGTATACGAAACTAATTCAATTTGTTATTTATCACTAGAAATAAAGTCTTTCTTTTGATAAAAAGTTAGCTGTATTGAATAGTTTTGTACTAAATTTATAATTCTACAATTTTAATATTTTTTATCATTACAACATCAAAATATGTTCGATTGGGTTGATACTTTTAGTGTAGCAAGTGGCAGTACTTAGCTACATTTTGCTGAAAACCACAACTCAATAGGTTGAGCTTGGGCAGAGCTATTAGGATCGAGTCGCTATTTGTTGTCTGTATGAATAATTTTAGCCGTCACTGTATTTATCTATTTTCACATATATGTGTCTCGTAGTGTTGTTTCCTATTTTCTGTCTTCGACCTTTACAATAGACAGATTTTTTTTTTTTTGGTTGTTATTTGTTATCATCTTTATCTATTGTTTGTACCATTTTTCCATCAACGGATTGAACAACTGAAAAGAAGACGTTAGAAAGACCGAACATTTCCTATTCAAGTATATTGATTATCCATAAATAAATTAATCGACATATACTTTTTCATTTTCATAAATATATAATATTACATGAAAATCTCAAGATATTTATTCCTTCATTTTCTGTTGTCTTTCGATCAATTAGATAAGGTGTGGTTATAGTGTGGGATAAAAGTTTAGATAAAATCTTCGTCTGCATTCACATTCATATCAATCATAAACAAGGACTAGTTCAGAGCTTTACTTGGTTTCCTTCGTTTTCGTTTTATCTGACACTTGTATTCATGCTTAGCCATCACAACACCTCTTCTCGTTTCATTATTTTTAGTTTCTGTCTTTTTCTCTCTTTCATTCAATTTATAGTACTTGTTGAACATGTGCACAATAAATCTACAGTTTGTAGAACAAGCTGACATATCGGCAACTGTTATCAAGTACTATAATAGGAAGAAAGAAACGATTATTGACAGTGGTGGCTTATAGCAAGACCAATTCTGTCAGAATTTCTCTTAATGATGTCGAACTTGGATTATCTTTTGTTTTTTTCTACCATTTCACTATCAACAACGACTCATCAGTGGCTATTTTGATTGTCAGAGCACTAATATAACAAGGTAAAATCGTGTATAGAAATATTCGTCGTTTTGCTCGTAATGCAACTTGAAAGTGCATCCCTCAATAAATTATACATTTTCGGACATTAATGATGGAGTGAAATTTCAGAATTAGCTGATTTTTTAATATGTTGTATGCACTTTTTTCCAGAAAA